CTAAGATAAAACCTGAAAGCTCCCCTTTTCCCCCTCAAACATATGCCCCTGCCATCTAGAGCCAAAAAAGCCGCCCCTCCACCCCCACCCTTAGCTTCCACAAAACTTCTAGTATCCCATGTCCTTCACATCGACCTTCCCGGCAACCCAACTGGTTTTTTGACACCACCCTCTCCACTAACATTTAAAAAACCCATTACCTAAAATTTTCGCAAACACCTTATATCGCACAATCATGATATGGCTCGGTACTCCCCCAAGGGTGGGCTGCCCCCTTTACCTTCGGACCAAAACTACTACTGCTGTTTCCGCTTCTCCCCCAACTTACCCCTTTTTCTTCATACTATTAAATAAAACCAAAAATATAAATTCCTTTTCAACGCCCAATGTTTAAATAAAATTCACCCGGGGGACCATCAATACCGGGAGCTTTCCCCTTCCCTTCCCCTTAACGCTTCTCATTTCCTCTCCCTAATCGCCCACCTAAAGCCTTTCGATCATATTTCCTAAATTACACGCACATCGTACACACCTTGTCCAATGCCCCTCACCCCCCCCCCCACTGTTCCGTATTTCTGTACCAAGCCCCGAAACGACACATCCCCTTCTGGTTCGTATCTCCTCCCCACTCTATAATTTCCCAACCTCTCCCTTACCTCTAAACATGGTATAGCCCCTCAGCGCCCCGCCTTTTCTTTGATGCCGCAAACCACGGTGGGCTTGTCGCCCGCCCCTTTCCCCCCTGGGGGGGTTAATTAATTTTTTTGAAATTTAAATTTTTTTTTGTTTTTTTTTTTTTTTTGTTTTTTTTTGTTGGGTTTTTTTAAAATTTTTGTTTTTTTTTTTTTAAAATTTTTTTTTTGGGAAATAAGAAATGTTATTTTTTTTAAAAAATTATAGGTAAAAAATAATTTATTTAAAATTAAAAAAATTTAATTTTAAAATTTTTATAATGTGGAGCGTCCCCCCCCAAATAAAACCAATCCCCTTATTGCATTTATTCCCAAAAAGTAAAAAAGTTTCCCCCGCCATTCCTGAGAAAACCCCCAATCTATCTCCACAAACCATTAACAAAATAATTCAGTCCCCCCCCAAAAACCCCCCCAAAGGCAAACACGTAAAACCCAACATCCCTTTTAAAAATTCTAAGAGCCACAACATATATCCCCCTCCCTGGTCCCCCAAATCAGCCACCCCCCATTTAAATTCCAGCCCACCAATATCCCCCTCTGGGTACACTTTAAAAAAACACAGATCCTCACCAACAAAATATTCTTTACCTTTATTTTTTTCTGCCGGCGATACACACCACAAAAGACACCGCTTTCCATCCCCACCCTCCACACGCAACACCCTCCCCCCCCCTCCTCCCCCCCCCCAAAAAAACGGGCTCGTCCCCTTATTTAAAATTCCCCACACCACCTTTGAGGGGGGAAAGGCAGGGAACTACCCGAAAACCTGCCACCTCCAAAAACCCCTACCCTCTTTGAAATTGTGCCCTGAGGAAACAACATCCACTCTAATTTTTTTCAGAAAAAATTTCAAAAACCCAAACCTTTCATCCCCCTCATAACCCATTAACATTTACAGCATACACCTAAGGCCTATTAAAATTTCCCCCCTGCTTCCTCTCATCCCTCTTTACAACTCCAGAGCTTGAATTTACGTTCAACCCTTCAGGTGCTCTCTTTCCCCCCCCCTTCTTCCGGTGCCCCCTACATGGCTACCACCACCCACACCACTACCTTCACACTTCACCTCGTCTTTTTTCCCCGGCCTTTTTGAGGGGAAGGACGTCATCAAATTGATGTAGCCCCCCCCCTTTCTCTACAGTCATGTTACACATATCTTGACAGATTTACCTTCGATGAACCTCCACCTCCACCTGAGAATGGGGTAATGAGTCAATGGATGACCCAAACCCCATCACGTCCCAAATTATCATGTTTTAACTTTCTGGAAGCGACGATTCTCCAAAGACACCCCCTCAGAGTAACATCCCTCTCTGGTGGGGCAAAAGTCTTCAACACCCCACCAAACCTCCCCAATCTCAAGAACCTTTCTTGTCTTCTGCTCCTCCTTATCCACAGGAGACACACCTATCAGCATTGGGGCGGGACCCAACTCACCACCATCCTGTGTGCCGATCCACTATTCGCTCCACAAAACACCACGCCCTCCATCCGATGTTTTTTCCTCACCTGCCCCCCTTTGAAGCAGGGGCTGCGACGTCCACCACAGGTCCAGGGACATGTCTTCGCTTGTCACAGGTCGCCGCTATGTGATCATCCACCACATAGGCGGCAGTACGCGTTGTCCTGGGTAATTTCCATTACCTGCGTCTGAAATCTTGTAGGGACCAAGGAGGGATTTGGTGCCTCAAAATCATTTTAGGTTTAAAAAACCCTTGGAAAAAAACCCCATAGGCTCCTGCCGCCCACTACCTGTTGAGCATAATCCCGTCCCCTACTTCTAAAAACTTTTCCCTTTATCTGCCTCTCCCCCTCCCCAAAAGGGAACGTTGCGTAACTTGATCCACGTATAAACCGGAAACACTATCATTTTTTCAGTGACACTGTGTGACTTAAGACTCACGCCTGAAAAACCCGGTGATTTTTCGATTTAAAACCGTTTGAAAGCAGTTTGACGAAAAATTTGTTGTCCCCCGTTCAATGCTAACCAAAAAGCCTATCTTGTACTCCCAAAATCTCCCTTTTGATCTTTGGGAAAAAACTTGCGCGAACTGGCGTTATCGTTCCTTTTAAATAGTCGATCCTACAGTATTTATCCTTGTCTCAGACTAACCCCCCCCATCTTGACGATCACATGCACCTAAGTTTTAGCCGAGGTGGACAGCACCATTCACACCACTGCAGCCCGGTAACTGACAAAGGGGGCTCGCCTACACAGCAAAGGGGGGCAAACACTACCGCACACACCGGGTCGGCAGCGAATGTTTGGGAGTGGGGTAGTGACAGCCTGGCGCTGACTAGGCCAGTGGTTTGGTGGTGGACCACCCCCACTGTTTCTCTGTACCATCTTTGGGGGTTTAGGATTAAGGTGTTTCTAGATTGTAAATAGTGTTATGTTGAATAAAAAGACAAAAATTTTTCCTAATTGGGGTTTTTTGCCTAACCCCCTGTTAACCAACCCCTAAAATAACACAACTGGTTTAGCACTTTTTTGTTTTGCGGGGGCAGCATGTTTTATCTTGAGATGTGTGTAACTTTTTTTCCTTTTTGCCTAGCCCCCAGCTATCCCACCTTTTTGCATAACAACTTATCCCGAAAACTTGGTCACTCCACTTACTCCCGGAGCCCTGCCCCTTTCCCCTTAGCCCGGAACCTTTAACACTCCACTTAGATCAAACCCTTTGGGCATTCCATTCCTGGAATCTTGGGCACTCCCCTTGTCCAGGAGTCTTGGCCACCCATGTATCCTGGAACCCCTTTGGGCACTTAATCCCAGAAGATTAGTCACTCCACTTTGTCCTGGAACCTTGGTCACTCCACTTACTCCTGGAACCTTGGTCACTCCACTTAGTCCTGGAACCTTGGTCACTCTACTTACTTTTGGAATCTTGGTCTCTCCACTTGATCCTGAAACCTTGGTCACTCTACTTATTCCTGGAACCTTGTTCATTTCACATAGTCCTGGAATTTTGGTCACTCCACTTAGTCCTGGAACCTTGGTCACTATGCTTAGTTCTGGAACCTTGTTCACTCCACTTACTCCTGGAATTTTGATCACTCCACTTAGTCCTGGAACCCTGGTCACTCCACTTAGTCCTGGAACCTTGGTCACTCCATTTAGTCCTGGAACCTTGGTCACTCCACTTACTCCTGGAATCTTGGTCACTATACTTAGTCCTGGAGCGTTGGTCACTCCACTTGTTCTGGAACATTGGTCACTCCAGTTAGTCTTGGAACCTTGGTCAGTCCACTTAGTTTTGGAACCTTGGTCACTCCACTTAGTCCTGGAACCTTGGCCACTCCATTTATTCCTGGAAATGTGGTCAGTCCACTTTTTCCTGGAACCTTGGTCACTCCACTTAGTCCTGGAACCTTGGTCTCTCCACTTAGTCCTGGAACCTTTGTCTCTCAACTTACCCCTGGAATCTTTTTCACTCCACTTAGTCCTGGAACCTTGGTCATTCCACTTAGTCCTGGAACTAAACTGTCTGCACTGAAATGTTGGTCTTGTTTCTTTACACCTGCTGCACCTGGCAATAAGTAGGTACCTGGGTGTTAGTCACCTTACACCTGCTGCACCTATGAGTAAGTAGGTACCTGGGTGTTAGTCATCTTTCACCTGCTGCACGTGTTCACCTAGGTGTTTGTTAACTGTTGAGAGTGGCATCCTGGGGGACAAGATTAATCTAAGTCACTTTAAATGCTCTGCATAACTATAGGCTTTCTATGTAGTATGTCAATGATGTTAGCTAGTTCTGTAATAGTTGTATTACGTACTTCTAGTAACAAACATTATTATTATTATTATAATTATTATTATTATTATTTTTAGTTTTTATTATTATTATTATTATTATTATTATTATTGTTATTATTATTACTATTATTATTATTATTATTATTATTATTATTATTATTATTATTATTATTATTATTATTATTATTATTATTGTTATTATTATTATTATTATTATTATTATTATTATTATTATTATTATAATTATTTTTTATTTATTTATTATCACACTGGCCGATTCCCACCAAGGCAGGGTGGCCCGAAAAAGAAAAACTTTCACCATCATTCACTCCATCACTGTCTTACCAGAAGGGTGTTTTACACTACAGTTTTTAAACTGCAACATTAACACCCCTCCTTTTCACTTGAATCCTTTTATCCTTGCCTTAATACCCTGAATTTGCTAGCTGGCTAGTATTAGAGTTGTGTGAATATTAAGTATTTATTTTAACCAAGGATCAATGTTATATATTATGTCGAGTTAATGATTTGATATTTTTTTATTTCCACAGTTTGACTTAACATGTGAAAAAGCTTGGCTTCGTCCTCTTGGTGGTTCAGTGTACATGACTGGTATGTTATTGGGAGCTATTATTATTGGTGATTTAGCTGATCGATTCGGAAGAAGAAAGGGAATCTTGGTGTCAGTACTTCTATATGGTTGTAGCGGAGTTATATGCTCAGTGTCTCCTAACTACTACATGTTCCTGTTGATGCGGTTGTTTACTGGTGCTGGAGGCTGTGGCCTCGTTCTGGTCACATATATCTTGAGTAAGTACTTTATCTTATTTTTCTGTTTCATCCCTTCAAGACAAGTTTCGCAATGGTACTAATTTTATATTTGCAACTATTTTATGTCAATATTTTTCAGGTAACAACTTTTACCTTCCTTTAGTAACTTACATTTTCTCTCGAAATCGTAATATCAAGATTGCAAATAAATCAAGAAAAGGTGGGGCTTTTACCCAGGCCTCATAATATCCTCCTCTAAAACAAAGATATTAACAAGCAAACGACATCCCCCACCCATCTACTTGCAGGGTGAAATCATTAGCTACGTTAAAACTTACAGATATCTTGGTGTAGATGTACCCTTTAACAAATCCAATGTACCACAACTAAAGAAGAAATGCAAAGATAGACTAAATGCTCTGAAAGCTGTTGCTGGCTACAACGCCAACTATGGTGCTAATGTTAGAATTTTGAGAATTATGTACATAGCCTATGTTAGGTCCTTAATTGGTTATGGTGTTCCCATGTTGATAGTAGCTAGAGGAACTTCTCTACGACTCTTGGAGTTAATGCAAAATGAAGCTCTCAGAATTATTCTTAGTTGTCCTAAATCTTCAAAGGAGGAAGGAGCTTGGTATTTCTACTATCAGTGATAGGATTGTTGAGATTAACAATGTACTCGGTATTAGAATGTTAAGAAATGAACCAGAGAATGTCACAATGAATCTTACCAAATGTCTAGAAGTAAATACACACAGATCTAAATGGATTGTGAAAACACGCAGTTACAATTGCCTGCATGAACTGTATCGCGGTAGACAACAAGAGCATCTCACCCCTCCATGGATGATGTGTTCATTTAATATCACATACCCGCAAGTCCCTCCCAAGAAGCTCATTGCCAGTAATCCCTTCCTTAAATAATTTTTTAAATTAACTGATCAAGAAGAAATTTCTCACCTGGCTGGTAGTAATAAGTTAGCACAAGTTGGATCTAAACAGGAGTCTTCTGGCAGGGTTGCATCTGTTCTAGTTGCCACCTCCCTAGTTAAGGACGATAATAAATTTGTTGAAATAGGCATGAGAATTAACAACTGGGCGTCCGCACTGCTAATTGAATTGTTTGCAATCCTAATGGTGCCAAAGCTAACTTGTGACACTGAACTTAACTCTTTCATCATTACTAATTCAATGTCATCATAGAAGGCTCTTGACTCATATACTGACTCCAACAACATGCTCATTGGAGAAGTCAGGTATAGATACTCAAAAATCTGGGACAAAGAAATTAATGTACAATAGCTATGGATCCCATCACATATTGGATTACTCCGTCATGATAAACTTGATATTTTAGCCAAGAAGAGTACCCTGAAGTAGAATATAGAATATAACTTTGGTATATCTGTGTCTAGCACTAGGAATAACATTAGGAGAGAAGTAAATAATGAAAATGATTATGTGGTCAGGCATATGGTCAATATCTTGAACACTATTCAATTCAATTCAATTCAAAGTTTATTCTCTATAAGGATTACAATGCTGAGTTTACAGAAATTTGGTTATTGTGAGGTTTACATATAGTAAAATTGTGATTACAGAGTGTACCACTAGAACGCTTAACATGGCTAGGCATTTCGGGCATACTTAGTTTTATTCTTAATTGTAAAATATTACAAATTATGAGGTAAGTTGGTATTATGGCTAAGTGACTAAATACTAGTTTGTGAGTTTAGCAATGTGAATGCTTTTGTTTTGGCACAGTACATACATTTGTCCACTTATTGAGGAATACAGTGATAGACAGCAAATTAACCTACGTGACATGTCAAGATATCATATTAATGAAAATATGATACGAGATATAGTAAGGAAATTTCCTAAATTTTCTTGTAACAGATAAGTGATCTGTAGATATGTAGATATAAATCCATATGTACATCTGTCAACCCTTTCGGGGCCTAGTTCCTAGGTCTTTTGTGTGTCCATATGCTATTGTGTTACCGTCCACTGGATGGTTATGGGGTCCACAATACACTAGCCACTTCGGTGGTGCAATCTTGAACACATGACAAGTAAGTGCTGAAACACACACTGACTTATGAGTTTTGGATTCAATTTCAGTGGGTTTAAAAACTAACCATTCTGTGATTTTATTTAACTAACACAAATTTTCATTATTACTCGACAACATACTCTCCTCAGTATTAATTGCTTTAATAGTTAAACCCAATTAAGTTCTTTATACACAGATCTACATACAGATAGTATTATTGCATTAGATTTTAATAAGTGCCTGTATTCTATACTTTTAGTCATTCCTCACTAACATAATGTAGTCATAAAAGGAATTATTTCTTATTGTGTTGAATAATAGCAAACAGGGCAGTGTCTCTTTATAGGGTTGTTGTTAAAGGATGATTCCCGCTTCCTGTTCACTATTGATGACGTGACTGATAAAGTGTCAATTCAACACTGGCTTTATAAAACTGGTGAAGGTATCACACTACTTCATTTGTTGAAAGAAAATTTTAGAGCTTGTTAACCTACCCACTGGTGCTGAAACTTGATGAAAAAGCAGAGCAGAAGCAGTAGTAATAGCTAGCTATGCTCAGGAAGACTAACATTCCTATTTGGTATGATTCATCAACATTCAGGTCTAATGTGACTCAATGAATAATGTATTTTAAGGTTCTTGGTACATTGTGCATTCCAAATGACAAATTATTGCATATATACGAACCTTCCTGAAAAAAAGAATGTTGAAATCTACTTCAAGGTGTCAGAAGCACCTGGTAGTTACTACGATCAGTCCTTTAAATATACATTGCTCCTCATAATATTACTGTCACGAGGGACAGGGTTATCAAACAGATAGATAAACTGAAACAAAATAAATCCCCGAAACCCGATGAGTTGTCAGCCATTAACGAGCGAGTTTAATGAGTCCATCCTAATTGGTATTGTGCCAGAGATGTGGAAGATGGATAATGTAGTTCCTATATTCAAATCAGGGGATAAGTCCATTCCATCAAATTACTGTCCAATAGGCACGATGTCTATAGTATGCAAATTATTAGAATCAATTATAGCTGACATTATTAGAAGTCACCTTGAAGAGCATAATTTGATTAATGAATCTCAGCATGGGTTCACGTGTTTAATGGGTTTATTGGTGGTATGGTAGCGGGGTTCAAATGATACGTCTTTGGAGGCTTCTTACTTTATTGTTAAGTCGTGGTGGGTACACAGGCTTGTGTGTTGTGCCCATGGCCCGGGAGGGCCATGCCCACGAGGGAGAGAGAGTAGGCCTTCTTGACTGAGTGAAGAGTGATGCCAGAGTGAGAGCATGGCAAGGGCAGGCAGGCTGGCGTGCCCACCGAGAGGCCTGGCTACAGAGAGCAGCATCTTAGTGCCGTGAAATATGAACTAAGCTGGCAGACAGCATGGGCTGTCTGTGCAGACAGTACAGGCTGTCTACATACGCTCTGCCACCTACCTCACGTCGTCCCACTGCGACAATACTGGTGGTAAAAGAAACTCGGTCTCTCTCTCGTAGGAACAGGGCACAGAACACAAAATAAAAAACATAAATATACATATGGACATGGGAAAAAAAAACTTCCTACAGGGAGGGAAGAAAAAAATATGTGGGGTGTGCTAAACATCGTGGTCATGGGCAGTGAGCATTGAAGGGCATCACTGCACGCCTTCCTGCGTCTGGACAGATACTGCAACACAGGAGGCATAGCTGCGGCTGAGCTGTGATGTAACAGGTTACGGTCTCCTCTGGAATGGTGAAACAGTCATCGTAGGAGTCGCTGCAGGTTTCACTCAACCTGGGACACGACATGCTGGTGCCCTTGAGTGAGGCGTCGACAAAACTCGGCAACTGGGCAAGCGACTCAGGAGGACACTTCTCGACTGGTACTGTCGCTGGGCTGTCACTGCCGGCGAGTGTGGAGCGAGTCATGGAGCGAGTCGTGGCAGAGATGACTGGGCGAAACATCTGGGATTTGTAACATCATACACCAGACTGCAGTGAGCGAGCTAGCAGTCAGTGACATCATCTTTGTGCAGGCTGCTCACTGAAGCTTGTGACACGAGGGTGACAGTGCCTGCCGACAGGCCGAGAGAATGACGAGTGCCATTCTCTCGGCAGTTGGAGAGGTTAGTCTAAGCGTCCCCAGACTTGTTTCTCTACATATAACTGCTCTCTGGAGGTCTGGAGATGAAGTGAAACAAATCTCGATGGGAATCGTAGCAGGTACGATTCTGCAGAACATTTATGAGCGACGAGCATAAGAGCTTTTTGTACAAGGGCTTGGGGCTCAGAGCTGACTGATAACAACTGACAAATGCACTGGTCACACGGGTGACTAAGCACAGTGGTGGTACTCAGGTCTGGCTCAGACCTCACTGGACACATGGAAACTATACACACCCACGGTACATGCGGTACATTAACATGTGAGAACACTGACTGAGAGGAATTAATTAACACACGACATACATCTTCTCTCAATCTTCTCGACAATACTGAAATAATTACTAGAAACACTCGATGTGACATAATGTGATGTTGTGAGGTGACGTCAGCAGCACTGTGACGCCAGCAGACATCTCGAGGTGACGTCAGGCAGACATCGTGACGTCATGAAGTCGGGCAGCATCGTCGGTGACGTCAATGTGATGTGGGCAGCAGACCACAGCATGTGGCCTGGGACATCTGGTAACTCACGTGGCTTGTAGATCTACGTGACATCGCCCACACCCACGTGGCGTCGTGATCCACATGGTGTCGTGATCTACGTGGCATGCTGATCCACGTGGCTTTGAGTGGCCTCGGGCACTCGGATACACAGCTCTGGCAATGAATTCACATGGAAAACAGCAGAAAACACAGCAGAGGGAGTGAGCAGTGGCGAGTGGTGTATGGTAGGCTGGTGAGGTGTGAGAGTACAGCAGGGCGAGGCAAGGAACGGCCACTTCCTCCTCTCCCACAAACACGTGGAGAAACTCACACTGGACGCAGAAAT